CCACTTTCTCATCTGTAAAATCGGATACCTGAGTAGTTCTCAGAATTAAATGAGTTAATATACATAAAGCACTCAGAAAATGGCATACATGTTAAGTACTCTGGGGGTGTACTCCTATTAGCACTAACACTATTATCAGCTTTCCACAGCTCTCCTTTGCCTTCTGACTCTAAACCTATTTTCCTCTCTGGCTTTGCCCCTCTTTACATCCTTCCTCCTCTTCTTTTCCATAAATGCTCCATCATCTACCCAATCCTTCTACTTTAGGTTCTTCTAAGCTTTCTTCAGGTCCTCTTTTCCTAATCTTTCCAGATTTATTTCTTAAAGGTAATTAATTATTCCTAAAATCCTCCTGTGGATAACATAGCCATGACCCATTATTAAAATCCCTAACCTTGGCCAGGCACAATGGCTTATACCTGTGATCCCAGCACTTTGGAGGCCAATGTGGGCAGATCACCTGAGGTCAGCAGTTCGAGACCAGCCTGTCTAACGTGGCAAAACCTTGTCTCTGCCAAAAACACAAAAATTAGCTGGGTATGGTGGTGCATGCCTGTAGTCCCAGCTACTTGGAAGACTGAGGCAGGAGAATTGCTTGAACCCAGGAGATGGAAGTTGCAGTAAGCCAAGATCATACCACTGTACTCCAGCCTGGGCAACACAGTGAGATTGTCTCAAAAAAAAAAAAAAAAAAAAAAAAAAAAACAAAACCCTAACCACAAGGAATTCCCTCCCTTGTTGTGGCTCCATTTAATTTTTCAAGGGTCTTATGAGCCCCTTGGAAAGGGATAAGAATCTATTCAGTTATAAGATGAACGTACCATTGATGATCATGTGAGCCAACTCATCAATGGAATGATGCTAAAGCATAGAAAGGCAGCAGTGATGGAACCACAGGAGAGGCCAAGGAAAGCAGAGCTCACCTGTGATCCAGCTGCGAGAAGTGCAGCTGCCATCTCCCAGTCTCCAGTGTTCCCTTCCTGGGGAATTGCAGGAACCCAGGGAGCAGACTGAGCTGATGAGGAGAGAGAAGAAACATTAGACATTAACTATCTACCCTTTCTCAATAGGGTCTAGGTCCCATTTTGGAGAGGCTTAAGGGTCACATCTTCTGTATCTATGCCAATTGGTAAAACTCAAATGCATAAAAGTATATGAGAAGGCTATCACTCAAGATGTTCTAAAAGGGTATCAGATGGCTTTTAGTTAGACTAGCTATAGTTTGAATTTACAGTACTTGAATGTCATTTTCTTTTTTCATTTTTTTTTTTTTGAGACGGAGTTTAGCTCTTATTACCCAGGCTGGAGTGCAATGGCGCGATCTCGGCTCACCACAACCTCCGCCTCCTGGGTTCAAGCAATTCTCCTGCCTCAGCCTCCCGAGTAGCTGGGACTACAGGTGCGCACCACCATGCCCAGCTAATTTTTGTATTTTTAGTAGACGGGGTTTCACCATGTTGACCAGGATGGTCTCGATCTCTTGACCTCGTGATCCACCCACCTCGGCCTCCCAAAGTGCTGGGATTATAGGCATGAGCCACCACGCCCGGCCTTGAATGCCATTTTCATCTAGTAAAGTGCATCTTATGAGTGAGTTCTCGGTAATCAGTGTTGCTGTCACTTCCTTCATCTCCCTCATTCAGTATCACTAATTATGCATTTGCATGTGGAGGGAGTAATTATGAAGACACAAGAGAAGCCCAGTTGCATGGTTGGTGAATTCAGGAGCCTATTCTATACCTGTGCAGGGCCCAGAAAGAATGGGCTGGTCCTGGTACAGGCTATGCTATTTAGTCCGTGGCAATTTGAGGATTTTTAACCCTCCTTTTGGAACAAATATTAGGAGACTATGCACTGTGCTTCCCACATACTCCATAGGCTCTCACCCTTCTCCTGAAGGGACTGTGGCTCCTCTTCAAGGTCACAGCACAGGTGCTCCAGAGGACCTGGTGCTGTTCTCCATGGTCCCTCTTCCTGACTTCCCCTTTCCACCTGGGGCTCTGTTCCATCCAGCTGTACATTCATTGATTCCCATCCTGTCCCCAGAGCTGCTGTCTGTTCTGAAAGCATTTTTGCTGCAGACCCAAATTGTGACCTGGAATAAATTCATAACAGCAAAGCCCATGAAAATGGGAAAGGAGTGATATTCCTAAGGGACTTATGAAGAACAGGACCAGGGATAATAGATGAAACAAAATAGGAGGAGCTTGCTGGAAGATGAACTTTAAAAGCTTGATGTGTTCCAATCAATTGAGCCTGCACCAAGCTTCTTGGAGGAACTAAGAAACTGGCAGGTACTATGTAGCAAAGCCACTAACTGGTATTTTGTGGCCCTCATGATAGAAAGAGAATATACCTGAAGGTTAGAAGTTGTTCATTTAAAAAAACATGACTGTCCTGGAAATTCAAAGGCTATCCATTTAATTTCAAGCACATGAAGTATAGGAAAGTAAGCAATTTGGAAACATACAGGAAGAAATACACATAGACCTGCATTCAACAAGATGGGTATAACCACACATAAGATTTTCTGCAAATCATAGTCTCATCGGTATAGAATGAAGTGATTACTGTAGGTAGAAGTCCCAACCAAGGGGTGTATGTGTATCATGAGCACACGCCTCTTTCACGAGGCTGAGCCAAAAGGAACCTCACTTGGGACAAGCCTCAACAGAAAAAGCACATAGTCTATCATCCAATGAGAACTGAGAGTAAATACATAAGAAAAAAAAAAACAATAACTTGGAAAGCAGGGGTAGGACTCCAAAGTAACCCTAACAGATAAGAGAAATTGTTGGTCAGTAAGGAGCTGAAGTTTAATCAGGAAAAGTAAAAAAGAACAGAAAGAGTTTGAACCAGAGCTGGAAAAGGGGGCAAGAAATGCTGCTAACAGGACCCAGAAGAACAAACCTGTTTATTTGGCAGGCACCAGTCAGATCTCATTAGAAAAATATACTCAGTTTGAAAGAAGCATATGAAGAAGCCAGTGTGTGTTCATCAGAAGACATGGAAGTCAAGAAAGGGATGGGAAAAACAGCCACCGGAAAAGTTAAAAATGTCAGATGTAGTTTTCTCTGTCTGGAGAAGGCTGATGAATGACGATACTAATGAATAAAAACAGAGGTGCCTTCTATCTCTATATAGATCAAACAGAAAAAATGGGTCTTGATTGCAAGAGAAGAGATTTAGGTTATATTTTTCAAAAAATTCTTAATAATCCTGCAGTATACAAAACCAGATAGTGGGCTCTTCTTTTCTTTGGACATCTTAAGATCAGGATAGGTCACACTTCTGTTGTGATAGGAGCCTCCCTGCCTTATGGCAGAGAAATAATCTATTATGAGACTCTGAGAATCTGTTTGGCAGCATATTTTGGGTATTCTTATTTAACACCCAAACAGTCAGAGCCAGTGAAAGGCTTCCAAGAACAGTCAGAAACTTGGTAACTATCCTGGCTCACTTACATCCATTCAGTAACATTTGCAAGAAACTTGAAGGCCAGGGTAGGTAATGACAGATTTCAAGTCATCTATTTTCTTGCCTATTGTCTTTGACAAAAGAGGTAGGTGGGAACCCTAAGCCCAATGCACAGGAAAAACATTCCCCTTTCATCTCAGAAGTCCAAGGATGGCTCAGGGCCTCATGGGAGCACCCTGGACTGATTCCCAGCTTAGGAGGTTTCCTCTTCAGAGACTTCTTATGAGAAAGGAAAACTCTTGCTAAAGCAATAAAGGGAAACTTCCATTTTAACTTTCTGCTATGAATTCCAGCCCTGTATCCACTTTTAACACACAGGGCACTAATTCCCCCTCTTCACCCCATCTTTCTGGTTCTCTAGCTCCTGTGAAAATCCTCCTTGAAGGCTTTACCTCTAGCTACATATCTGGACACTTGTCTCAAACCCTTTCTCCATCTCCCCCAATAGCAGAGTCCCTTAATGGGAAGCCTCTTTCTACAGAGCCCACTGGGCCAGCTGTGAGCCTTTCTATACCATTGACAGAAATTTGCGGAAATGCTAGCAAAAATCTCAGCAAAGGATGAGGTACCTGTTCTCAGCCTGCATTTCCTAAGATGTTTACGCAGAGCCAGTGCCTGGGTGGTTAAGGTGGTAGCCCTAACCTCGTTTATTCCAGGATGATCCCATGCCCACTGGAGCCTGGGTTCTAGGGCTTTCATTTCCCTCCTTTCTTCACAAATATGGCTAGCAAGGGACCTGCAAAAGGAAGTTTTTGCAGCCAATGCTGACTGAAAGAAAAAGGGCCATGCTATAAAAATGAGTAGCCCAAGGGCACAGGGACGAGTCGTGCTCCATCCATCACAGAACCCTGGCCCCTGCCACCGGTGGGGCATGGTCATCGGCAGGACGGGAGCCTGCTCAGGGGTAAGGTTGCTTCTTCTCTCCTTCTTGTCACAGTGCCTCTGGAAAGGGTCAGATTTCAGAGAATCCGAGTAAGGCAGAACTGGAGCAGGGGAAGTGAGGTCAGAAAACAGGTTTCCCGAGCTGGGGCAGTAGCAAGTGAGGAGAAAAGGAGCCAAGGGGTAACCTGTGCGCGAGTGACAGCGGCGGGAGCCCGCAGGGCTTGACAGCTGGGATGGGCACAGGGTGACAGGGCGGCGGGCAGGCACAGAATGTTAGCAGGGCAGATCCCCGGCAAAGGCAGCAACCCGGAAGCCGGCCGATCCTCCTCCCCGCCCCCATGGGTGACCGAGCCCCCACCAGCCGCCCCGGGAAGCCAGGCGTCCCTCCCTCCAGCCCCGGCTCCCTCCGGCCCTGCCCCACTCACCCACGGTCGGCTTGGCCCGCGGCCCGGTGCCTCCCTCCCGGGCGCCGCCTGCCCCTCCCCTCCGCCCTCCGCTTGCGTCTGGGAGCCGGCGGCCGGCGGAGCCAGCTACAGGCGGAGACAGCGGTCCGGCGGGAGCGGGCGGGGCGGGCACAGGAAATCCCCGCCCGCTTCCGGGGCTCGGCGGCGGCGGCGGCGGCGGCGGCGCGGGGAGTGGGAGGGAGGAGAGGGGAGGGGGGCGTGGCCGCAGCTCGGGAGCCCCAGAAGGAGCCGTACCCAGGATCTCCGCGCCCGCTGCTGCGGGGAGGGCACGGTCCGAGGGGCTTGGAGAGCGGCGGGCGCCGGGATCCCAGCCTGCCGTGACCTATTGCCCGCACTCTTGCCTGACTGTCCATTTTCCGCCCTGGCTACTGGGCCTCCCACGGAGTTGTGTCCTCAGGAGTTCATCAGTTACCTGGAATTGCAAAACCGCTCGTTACAAGTCAGACCGAGGCAGATAGCTGTTTCTCCAGACAAGAGTCTGGAATTCCCCAAGGAGCTTACCCTCTAGTTTTAACGATAGGCTAAAGGTCTTGAGACAACACTGAGGAGGAGTCCCTAATTCTGCCTGAGGGGGAGTCAGCTGGCTATCTGAGGTAGGCCTTGCGGCTGCTTTGTCCCATTTGCAGAAGCCGTAGCTGCAGGTAACACCTGAGCTCTCGAAATATGGCTGGTCTGAATAGAGACGTGTTCTAAGATTTAGAAGATTTAATTTAAAAAATGTAAAGTAGCTCAAGAGTGATATTTTGGGCATATTGGGTTAAATATATTATTAACATGAATTTCACCTAGTTTTAACTTTCTAAATGTGGCTACTAATAGTTTAAAAACTACAAACATGGCTTGCATTATATTTCTATTGGATAGTGTTATCTTGCAGCAATAAGATGGATTTGACTGGGAAAGATGAGAAGGACCTACAAACAGTGAGTAAACCCATTACTGTTAGAATCTATTTATAACCTACAAGTCACAGTCACATTCCTTATTTAATAATTACAACAATTTTGACAAACTTTGTTTAGTAGACTTAAAAAAATAAGTGGCTAGGCCAGGTACGGTGGCTCACGCCTGTGATCTCAGAGCACTTTGAGAGGCCGAGGTGGACAAATCACGAGGTCAGGAGTTCGAGACCAGCAAACTCCTGGTGAAACCCGTACTCTACTAAAAATACAAATAATTAGCCAGACATGATGGTGGGCGCCTGTAATCCCAGCTACTCGGGAGGCTAAGGCTGGAGAATTCTTTGAATCCCGGGAGGCAGAGATTGCAGTGAGCCCAGATTTTGCCACTGCACTCCAGCCCTGGAGACAGAGCGAGACTCTGTCTCGAAAAAAAAAAGGGGGGGGGGACTTATGTAAGGTCAATATATGACAATCATTCCTTTAATACATATTTCTTTTCTACATGCACCAGACACTGTAACTAAATGCTGGGAATCAAAGAAAGGATTCACAGTCTGGGGAAGTACATATCAACAAATACTTGCAATAAAACATAATAGATGCTAAAACAGAGGAATGTACTCTGCATTTGGAGCAAAGAGAAGTGACCATGCATGGGAGGGAGGTCAGAGAAGGCCTCACTCCTACAGAAGTCGTGAGGCAGAGAAGAGTGGGGAGGGTTCTCTAACGAAAAAGAGGAAAACGCAGTAGACACACAGTTGGGGAGAGTATAGAGCATATTCTAGGAGCAGATCATGGGGTATGTGGTGGGAGTAGTAGTTCTAGAATTTTTATCCCGGGTCCTGGAACTAAGTCCAGGGGTTCTTTTCACATGTGTTACCACTGGCGATAAATATAAGGTGTGTTAATTTGGGTAGGCTAGTAAAAGCAGTATTTCAGGGCTTAACTCCATAAAGGCTTATGTTCATACAAAGTCACAGTGTGGTAACAGGTTGGTTGTGGCCAGAGGGTGGGGTCCCTACTTCTTGCATTCATTGAAGGACCAGACTTCTTGCACCTAGTGGTTCTACCGTGCCCTGAAGCCTTAGCAATGTAGTCAAATCTGTGGCCATCAGATAAGGGAGGCAAGCTGTGGTTAACTTGTCAGAGATATTAGGGGCCAGTCCTGGAAGTGGTGTGTGTCACTTTCACCCCATTCCCTTAGCCAGAATTCATGCACGTGGTCACATGGCCCCACCTAGCAGGGTGGCTGGGAAGTAAAGTATGTGTGCCTAGTAGAAAAGGAATGGGGTCTGAAGGACACAGCATTGCCTCTGTTACAATGTTAAATGAACATAATCAAGTACTAAACTTGACTTTACCTGAAAGGAATGTTTGGAAAGAACTGATAGTTATAATAGCTCAGACTCTCCTCAACTCTTTTGGGAAACAAATTAGTGTGAGATTGTTTCCTTTAAAAAAAAAAAAAAAGACTGGGCATGGTGGCTCATGCCTGTAATCCCAGCAGTCTGAGAGACTGAGGCAGGTAGATCATGAGGTCAGAATTTCGAGACCAGCCTGGCCAAGATGGTGAAACCCTATCTCTACTGAAAATACAAAAATTAGCCGGGCATGATTTAGATGCCTGTAATTCCAGCCACTCAGGAGGCTGAGGCAGGAGAATCTCTTGAACCTGGGAGGTGGAGGTTGCAGTGAGCCAAGATTGAGCCACTGCACTCCAGCTTGGGCAACAGAGTAAGACTTTGTCTTAAAAAAAAAAAAAAAAGTAGGCAAAATGGTATCATATTCTTTATACAAAAACCTTTTCTTTTTAAAAATAGCTTTTGTAATTTTAAATTTATGTAGTTACGTAGTAGGTGTACATATTTATGGGGCACATGAGATGTTCTGATGGAGGCATGCAATGCATGATAACCATATCATGGAAATTGGGGTATCCATCCCCTCAAGAACTTATCCTTTGTGTTAAAACAATCCAATTATACTCCTTTAGTTTCTTTAAAATGTACAATTATTGGCCCAGCGCAGTGGTTCATGCCTGTAGTCCCAGCACTTTGGGAGGCCAAGATGGGTAGATCACAAGGTAAGGAGTTCAAGACTAGCCTCACCAATATGGTGAAACCTCATTTCTACTAAAAATACAAAAATTAGCCAGGTGTGGTGGTGTGTGCCTGTAATCCAAGCTACTCAGGAGGCTGAGGCAGGAGAATCGCTTGAACCCAGGTGGTGGAGGTTGCAGTGAGCCGAGATAGTGCCACTGCACTCCAGCCTGGGAGACACAGTGAGACTCTGTCTCAGAAAAAAAAAAAAAGTACAATCATTATTGACTGTAGTCACCCTGTTGTGCTATTAAATACTAGGTCTTATTCATTTATTCAAACAATTTTTTTGTACCCATTAACCATTCTCACTGCCCCCACTCCCCCATTACTCTTCCCAGCCTCTCATAACCATCCTTCTATTCACTATCTCCATGGGTTCAATTGTTTTGATTTTTAGATACTCCAAATAAGTGAGAACGTGCGATGTTTGTCTTCCTGTATCTGGCTTATTTCACTTAACATAATGACTTCCAGTTCCATCCATGTTGTTGCAAATGACTAAATCTCATTCTTTATTATGGCTGAATAGTGCTCCATTGTGTATAAGTACCACTTGTTCTTTATTCATTTATCTGTTGATGCATGCTTAGGTTGCTTCCAAATCTTGGCTATGGTGAATAGAACTGCAACAAACATAGGAATGCAGATATTTCTTTGATATACTTACTGATTTCTTTTCTTTTGGGCATATACCCAGCAGTGGGATTGCTGGATCATATGGGAGCTCAATTTTTAGTTTTTTGAGGAACCTCCAAACTGTTCTCCCTAGTAGTTATACTAATTTACATTCCCAGCAGCAGTGTACAAGGATTCCCTTTTCTCTACATTCTTACTGGCATTTGTTATTGCCTGTCTTTTGGATATAAGCCATTTTAACTGGAGTGAAATGGTATCTCATTGGTGTTTTGATTTTCATTTCTCTGATCATCAGTAATGTTGAGCACCTTACTGTTTGCCATTTGTATGTATTCTTTTACCACTTGTATGTATTTTGAGAAATGTCCATCCAAATCTTTTGCCTATTTTTAATCAGGTTATTAGATTTTTTTCCTATAGAGTTTCTTGAGATCCTTACATATTCTGGTTAGTAACCCCTTATCTGATGAGCAGTTTGCAAATATTTTTCTCCCATTTTGTGGGTTGGCTCTTTGCCTCGTTGATTGCTTCCTTTGCTTTGCAGAAGCTTTTAAACTTGATATGACCCCATTTGTCTATTTTTGCTTTGGTTGTCTTTACTTGTACAGAACCTCGTCTTAAACATCACAAGGAATAAATGCAAAATGTCTTTATATTATGCTTTGGTGTGCCATCTCTTTAGCTATCAGTTAAACTCTGCAAGGTGGGGATCTGCATGGGTTCAGGGACATTAAGTGAGCCAAGAGGCACAATCAGAAATTAAGCCCTGGTCTGACTTCTCATCTGGTGTACCTTTTACCTGAGTAGTACCTTACCTTTCACAGAAATTATGTGGACAAGTACAAACTCCTATGCAGTGCTGCAGCAGGGATTAATCAAATATGCATTGAGTAGCAGGCAGATGATTTCATCTTTTTCAGGCTTTCTGAAGTGGAGGAGTTACAAGATTAGCTTTGAAGGTCAGACGTAGGAAGGGCATCCCTTATAGCATCAGAAGGCAGAAATGGACACACTTTGGCATGTTGTGGAATGAAGAAGACACATATATGGGGGGTGTCAGTCTAACGTAGAGAAGAAACAGGGAAATTAATAGAATAGTGGATGAAGTTAGTGGATGAAGAATTTTTTTTTTGCTATGTCAGGTGATAGGAAATCATTATATTTGTGTTTAAAAGGAAGTAATACACCTGATGGTGCTAATTATATCATTGTAAGAAGATTTGTTGGTCCTGGGTTGCTCTGTTGATGGAATTCTGGTTAACTGGGATGAGTTGGGCACACAGGTGGATTCTAATGTGTGGAATATAGAGTTCCCTGGGACATAGCAGCATTCTTCCTGCAGTTGTTGGTAATAAGTAGATATAGGGTATGACTACGAGAGTGAGTGACTGCGGTGGTGAACACGATCATTTAAGGTAAAACATAGTCAAAAGAACTGAGAGGCTAGAGTGATAGCAGGGATAGGATTCAAAATACTTAGCTACTACTACTAGCATGGCATGGACCTGTCCAAATAGACATAGCCCATAGTGCTGGTGCAGGGTCCTGCCGGCACCTTGTTGTGTTTAGATGATTCCTTTTCGTTTCTGAATTGTGAAGAGATCTCTTGAATCCTGGTGGGGGGCTAGAGCACTGAGGCATGACATTGAAGAGGATTGACAGTGGCTACGAAAATATTTCAGAATTTTAGCAAGGAATACAATTATACTTGCACATACTCATTTGCATAAGATGCATTGTCCACATGGATGTTGAAGTCATTGGGAATAATGATGGCGTTATGGAGAGAGGAATAGTAAGACAGTTGATGGAGTCTTAAATGAAAGGTGAGTGACCAGGAGTGTGGTAGGTGATAATAAGGAAGAGTGTGTGTGGAATGGTTTGATGACATGTGCTTCAGTGCAGCTGGACATTACTTAAAGAGAAAGGATGAAAGTGGTACTTGAAGTGGTA